GCAGCTCCCTGTGCGCTGGAAGCCCTCCTTCCGGGGAACCACAAGGCCGGGAGTGAGTCGCCGGTCCAAAGACCCAAAAAACCGGCGCTCCCCGCCCGAGGCTCCCCGTTCAGGCACAGATTTTCTTTGTACTTACCTTTCTTCCAGTCCACTAGTCCGTCTTTATTTATTTTTCAATCTACTCTTGAACCCAGTCACTGTGTTCTTAATTTTAGGACACAATAGGTAAGGTTTAGTTAATGCTTCTTAGCTCTAGAATTCCCATTTGTTTTTTTTTTTATGATTTCTAGCTCTTAATTAAAAGTCTTAGTCTTTCTGTTAATTTGTTTGTGAGCATATTAATTATGGTTATTCTGAAATTTGTAAAGAGTAACATTTTCTGGGTCCATTTCTTTTTCTTTTTTTCCCTTGGTTTTTGATATCTTATTTTCTATTGTTCCAAACTATTACTGATACAATGCTGGATATTGAATATTAAGAACTGCAGAGAAAACTTGAGCCTATAGTTGATGCTATCATGTTCCTCCAGTAAAAATCTACTTTTTGCCTCTAGCCAAGAGGTAGGCTAGTGGAACTACAGCAGAACTAGCACTCCCAAGCCATCTTAATTTAAGTAGTGTTTGTGGTGCTTCAGAATGGGTATTTAATCATGGAAAGAACTGATTTATTTCTAATTTACCTGATTACTAAGAAGTGGCCAGGAATATAACACTCAAAAACATCTGTTATACATCAGTTTGTCTTTCTTATCTGATCTTGAGCTTCAGTGTGATTAGAAACCCACAAGTGTTTTTAATCATATTTTGTTTCTAATCATACTTTGATTTATCTATCTGATAATTTAATCTTTTTCTCATTTTATGAAGAGTCTCCATTTATTTCTAATACTGTTGTCTGACTTTGGTTTAAACCTTTCTCAGATTCCTCATTTGAAGCACATAATATAGAATAGTCTGAATGACTGTATTCTCAATTCAAGGATAGTATTGGCATACCAGTTTTGATACATGATAGATTTTAATTTATTATATACAATGTTTGCTAATGTGGTAGCACTCATTTCTCTTATGGACTCTTAATTGAGAAAGGTTAAACAATACTTCTATATCGCTATCCATTTACTTTCAGTCTTTCTAGACTCATACATTTGTTATATTATATGTCACCTTTAAAAAGTATATTTAAGCTGTATTTTTTAATCCATTCTCATAATCTTTGTTTTTTACATTATTATATTATTTTCAAATGTATGATGTGCATGTATGAATATATTATAATATACGAATTTTACTTATTTTAGGTTTACTAGATCATCTTAAACTCTCATACAAATTTTGATTATTCTACCTCTTTTGCATTCCTTTTTCTCCCCCACTTGCCTTCTCTGATGTTATCTCCCCTTCCAATAGAATATCTGATAAGTTTACATTATTTTACTATTTTTAATGATTGTCCGAGAACTAGTGACATGAATCCCTGACCTTTAAAGGTCAATAAAACTTCTATTGTTTACTAGACAATATAAGCATCTGAAAAGATTCTAGTTTGTTTAACTTAATCCTTATCTCTTCTTTTATATTATTGATGTCATGCATTTTGATTGTATATACTGTATTTTAGAAAGCAAATTTTAAATTCCACAATTTATATTGTATTAATATTAATATAATAATATTAATATTGTTTATAGTCATTAATATTGTTTACAGTCATTAACATTAATATTGTCATTAATATTGTTTATAGTCTGTTAATTTAGACTTGGACTACTGTATTAAAATGTTTTATGATATTGATTGTAGAATAGTGACCTATTACAATGTATATTCATATTTTCTTAAAGTAAATATATATGTCACAGCATGTCTTCCAGGTCAGTTCAGATCTCCCATATCTCTATCTTTGGTATTTGCATTGTTCTTTATTTCTCTCATTTTTTCATCTGCCATCATTTTCCTGCTTTATTTCTGTAATACACTGAAATTTGCTTTTTGACTGGGTAGGCTTTATGTAATAATGGAGTCTAGTCTTGTATGCATGTTTCCCCCTGTATGGATCACTAGTTCTAAGACTAAATATTAAAGAAGTTCATCATTTCCCTACTGTCTGCAGTACTGTTGGTAGGTTGTAGTAGCTTAGTTTCCGAACACTTTCTATTATTCCATTGCTTTGCTTCACTTCTCTTCCTCTCTCTTTTTTAAATTTTTGAGAGGTTGTAAGAGTTCAGTTGATACTAATTCATCTTAGAAAACACAGACATATACATATACATACATACATATATATATATAGTTTCTGAAATATATATTTAACTGAGTTTATTTAACTATACTGTATATCTCTTTGATTATAGCTATATAGTTGGTAATTGAATTTGTTAATCAGAAATTTTTAAATCTAAATTTTGAGTGTATTGCATTTTTATCCACAGAGTGAAGGCAGAAGAGGTTTTAAAATTGATAATGATGACGAGCCACATACTTCTAAAAGAGATGAGGTTGATCGAGCTGTTATACTGTTTAAACCATTGGTATCAGAGCCAATTCATATACACAGGAAGTCTCCACTTCCACGATCTAGAAAGATGGCTACAAATGAAGTAAGTGTATGTGTCAGCATGTTTTTCATAAGATGAACTAACTATATAGTAATAAAATTGAAAAGAAAATACAGCTTTAATTATGGAGCTTGGGAACCTACGAAGTTTTTTTCAACTTTGTCTATTTTTTAACAAATTTCAAAAGATACATAAAAATATAGAGGCAGTTGAGGAAACAAAGATTAGTTTTAGAATTTAGAGCTTTGTGTATAGTCATCATAACAAAACTGAATGCAAGGCATAAGAATCTGATAAACTAATCTTTTTTTGATCTTGCTTCATGAGTTTATTCTTCTCTAAAGGACTTTTTAAAAAATCTAATTAATGGATTAGGAGTAATTTTTATTGAAACTGGAAAGACATTACCAGAGATGTTTCAGTAATAACTGATTTAGTGCCACTGTAGATTAAGATTAATTTCAAATTGTATATGGTGTGGTGGCACATGCCTGTATTCTCAGCTACTTGGGAAGCTGAGTCAGGAGGATTATAAGTTGAGGGCTATCCTGGGCAACTTGGTGAGATACTGTCTCAAAAAACTAAAGTGGGGATGGGTATTGGAAATGTAATATGATAGTACTATGGTGTTCACCTATGCCAGGGCCTAGATTGAATTCTCGTACAACAAAAAATAAATTAAAATTAAACTTTTACTTTGAATTATCTGTTCTCTATAGGATTATTCTCCTTGTACAGATTGAGGTCAGTGCCTGTAAATCTTTTCTAAATGCACTAATAAAAATGTAAAAGAAGATAAAAAGAACTATAAACTTTGAAGTTAGAAACATTTATTGTTGACCTGTACATATTCCACATCCAGATAATCAGATATAACATTAGTAGTTGGTGGATAAGAATAGAAACAAAAAAGAATTGTGCTTATTTCTACAGCCCCAAATTATACAAACATGTCTTTTATAATATTTCACATTTGACAGTTATGTATAAGAAAAACATCTGCCGGTATCTATCAATAAAATAGCTTGTTAGAACTTTCATGGAAAATGTTTACTTTATTAGGGTTGCCTAGAACATGATAGTTTTAGTTATTTTTTAAAAGGTGATTAACAAAGATGTTAACATTATAGAACTTCGAATTATCTTTTCTACTGTAGCTTAATTGAAAAATGAGAAATTTAGGGTTGCATTCAGGTATACTAAATTCCAGGAAATTGGGAAATGACTTAAAACCGTCTGTAGTTTATTTAAAAAAAAAAAAACAAAAAAACCACCATTTGTATGAGGGCAGTGATTTTGATGGGTTGTTCAACTGTTAATCTACAATTTAATGTTAATAATTTTACTACAAAACCCTGTCTTCTGTCCCCCAAAATGTTTGTATAATAACAAGCCAGCAAAATGTGTAAATCTTCATGTATTGCCACTCATCTATATTTGTAAGGCCTTCAACATCACTGCCCTTGTTAATTCTTAAAACACGGGACACATTTTAAACCTCATGAATACTTTCAAGAGATATTTCTTTCCCATGCTAAACTTTTACTTCCATGAGGTAAATTATTCAAGCAAAACCTTGAAGGTTTTTCCAGTGTTCACCGTCTCCACGGCTATCCAAAGTCTGTACTTCTAAAAGACACAAAAAGAAAAAGACTGTTCTCTTCATTTTGTGCAAGTAGATTTTGCTCCGCCCTCATTGTCTGATATGAACGTGCACACATGGAAAAGGAGAATGTTTGTGCATGTTTTGCCTGCTGCCCTCTATAAATAATCTCTGGAGGGGGTAATCAGATGAGAGCTTGCAGGTATAAAAAAGTACAATTTGTATCCATTGTATAATCTGATTTTTTTAGTGTGTAATTTTTGTACACTGAAATTTCTTCGACCTTATGTGCAGTACTCTAGTGCTTGTATTGAAGTTTATCCAAAACTCAGATCTCTTGAATATCTAAAATTGAACAGAATACTTTTATATGTAAATAGTTGCCAACGAACATTAAAATCTTTTTAGTTTTAAGAGAGAAGGTACAATTTAAGCTATGTAGTATTTCAGATGCTTTTACTTAGTAATGTATTTCAATAGTTGTTATCACATTAAATTTGTCATTCCTATCAAATTCTCAAATACTGTGATATTTGGCTCCCAAATTAGTTTAACAGTCTTTTAAAAAATTGATAAGCAAATGAGAACTGTATTTTTTTTTCTTTCTGGTCATTTGGCTCTGTTGTATCTAACTTTGCATGCTCTGCTTTTTTTTTTTTTTTTTTGCCCCCTTTCTCACTTCCAGGAAGAGAGCCCCCTGAGTGTGTCTAGCCCAGAGGGTACTGGTACCTGGCTGCATTATACCAGTGGTGTGGGTACTGGGCGTCGAAGACGCAGATCAGGGGAACAAATCACTTCTTCCCCTGTCTCCCCCAAATCATTGGCTTTCACATCCAGTATTTTTGGCTCATGGCAACAGGTTTTTAAACTTTACTTCATTAAACATTTTTCTTCCCCACATTCAGAGCAACAAACAGCTGTCTTTGAGGACATCTAATCCCTTATGTTTCACATCAGAGTAAATCCTTCTGTTTTTAAGTTCATTTAAAAATGTTTATGATATCTGATAATATTTGAGGGAAAGAAACCACTCACATTGCATGCGTTTAGCATTTTTACTGGGCAGGTTTTAAATATCCAGGATTTAAAAACTAAATTTTATTCTCCTGGAACTTCTACTTGCTAATAAAATCATTTAAAAAGGAGATAAATTTTTCTTTGACTTTAGTTGTCTCTTAAAACTTTCACAAACAAAACTGTAATTTGATAAGAAAATTTACTAGCTTTTCGCCTATAGAGAAACTTGATTCCATTTGGCGTTTGCTGACAATGTAAACATTATTTTAAATATTAAAATTTATGTGACTCAGTGTTAATCAACAAGATAGATCTAATACGGGCCATTCTCCCCCTCACTACTTCTTTCTCTGGAAATATATGACAAGAGGGGTCAAGTGCATATGTGCCTATCCATAGTATGGCTCAAAATAAAATGACTTCAGAAGGACTTTCTGTGATGACTTGTGGAAACTTAAAATACTCTGTTTTTTATTATAATGGAAGATCTGCTATAACACATGACCTCTCTGATAACTTCAGCAATTTCCTTTTGGAAATGTAATACACTTGACTATAGGAAAAGGGATTACGGTATCCATTAAGGCTGTGAATATTTAAAGGTTACTCTGATAAAGCCCATGCATGGATCAGTAATTGTATGGTGACCTCAGCAGTCTGTCTGTCTTTTCTTTTGTTCGTGATTGTTTTTTCCCCCCTTGAAATACAGGAGCTGTTTAAGAGTGGGCATTTTGCTTCTTTAAAAAGAGAGTGGAAGTATATCAATCTATGAATTGTTTCTTTTCATCTGTCTCATCTCATACATGATGTTTCATGCTGAATGCCTGCTTCGCACCACTCATTGCAAGGCCCTTATATGAAATGGACTCCCTTCAGAAGGGATCTTGCATGATTCTCATATCTTATGTATTTTTACTAATATTTACCATACAGCTTATTAACCTTGTCTGTCTGGAACAGGCTGCATATGGACTTGTGAATGTATTTCAAAACTCTTTGTTTCATGTATCTTGCTTTCCTTGTGCAGGTTGTATCTGAAAATGCTAATTACCTTCGAACCCCAAGAACTCTTGTAGAACAGAAGCCGAGCCCGACTGTAGGTATGTGGTGTAAGGGAAGCTGTTCATACCCTCTTACACTCAGCGCTGTGCAAACATGTAAAACTCTTTAGTGGAAAAAACATGACCAAATGCTATGCTTTAGTCTGTACGTAATGCATACTAATTCAGGAATGTTGAGTTGCACAACTCAAAATACACAATTAAGTTTTGAGATTATAAGAAATAGCAGTTAATTTTGTTGTTTAACCTTTCATCCACTGTGATAACAAGTTCACTTGCCAATGCTAGTTTTTAATTTTATGCAAGTTAGGATGAAAGCTTTATTTACCCAGTTGATACATTTGTAAAGATCTCATTGCATGCAAACAAGAACTTTTGTCTGATTAGAAAAAAATTTTAAGGCGTTTCAAATCCTGTCTAGGTATGTTAATTTTCCTTCTGAGCAGTTCTTAAGGAAAACTAAAGTAAAAGTATCATACAAGGTCAGACTTACTCTTTTTTTTTGGTCTTTTTGAGACAGGGTCTCGCTATGCAGTTCAGGCTGGCCTTGAGCTCACTTTGTAGCCCAGGCTGGTCTTGAATTCACAACAATCCTGCCTCAGCCTCCCGAGTGCTGGGATTATAGGCGTGTGCCGCCACGCCTGGCACCCGGGCAGACTTACTCTTTATTGAACATAATTGTTTCTTTGCTAACACTCAGAGCAACATTGAAAAACATTTTTCCAAGTTCATTGGTTTTTAAGCTCGTGTGTGATGAACTAGGAATAATGGCATATTATTTTCCATGAATAGTTATCTAAATAGGTTTAATAAAAACAAAATAGATTGCACTGTAAATTTAAACTGTGTCCTGCCGTCTTTATAAGATATGAATTCTGTTGATGCCTACATATCTAAAGAACTTTTAAAAATTACATATAACATTTACTAATAGCTTTTGATAGTCCCACCATATCTTTATGGAAATTTATATATTATCTCTTCTTACTGATTGCATAATATATTTGATAAAAATTCATTTACTCTTTCCCCAGTACATAAAGTTTTGCCTGAGTGTAAAGACTTTGCTTCAAATGAAGTATCAGTTTACACTGACTGTGTTTTACTTGCTGATAATGTGTTTTATCAGGGACTTTATTAGTTAATGTCTTAAGTCATTTGTTAGGTTTTAGAAATTGAACGTGGACTAGGTCTGAGTGGCTGAAGAAGAGTTATTTTGCCTGGTATCACAAATACTTAAGCTTTGATGTACTAATTTCATAAGAATATGTCACTTCTTAGGAGCATCGGAAAAGATTCATCATGTGTAGGCCTACGTTCAAAAGTATTGATTTAATGTAACTTAGTTTTTGCCAGGGAAAGTTTTTTTTTCTACAGCCTGCTCTTGCAAATTGATTGTCAAAATCCCTTGTCTTCCTGAGTTAGTTTTTATGATAGTGCTTTTAATGCTTTTAGGATATGTATGTATAATTATTGCATAAGCGTATTATTTTTCTTCAAAGATAACTTTTTATGCAGTGCTAAATTAGCCCATTTGTACATACGATAAATGGTGGTGGTTATTAGAAGCATCGTATTAAAATTGATATCACTAGGACATTACAAGCATTCTGTGAGCCTGTGCAAGGCACTGCCCAGGGCTGCCTGTGTATTGGTAAGAGCCATGTTAACTGCATGCTGCATGAATTCCCGATGTGAATGGAAGAACACCCGTTGTTGTATGTATTTTCTCTAACTCCCATCAGGGTCTCACTGTGCGGGCCTGTTTAGCACCTCAGTGCTCGGGGGTTCTTCAAGTGCACCTAACCTACAGGATTATGCTCGTACTCATCGTAAAAAGCTGACCTCTTCCGGCTGCATAGATGGTATGTGCACACAAGCACACACAGATTCATAGCGACACCCACGCACACACCCATGAGCAGTAGTTCTCAAAAGCAAGTCTGGGGCTGCTGATTCGAGTGGAATCCTAGCACCCTTCCCTACACCACTCTCAGTGCTGTCATCTACAGCGTGGACCCATGTTTCATCAGTGAATTGCAGTCAGACTGACTTCAGCAATAAACAGTTGGCTGAAATGGAAAATCTAGACCTGCATCTGTGTGTTCTTCTTCTAGGAAATTGAGAATACATACTATAAAGAGTAAATTTTCTTTGATCTTTTAAATTTTATTCATTGTTAACCTTTACTTAATCAGTTTTGAACTAAAGTAAATAGAATGTTCATTAATAGAGGAAATATCTTGGCAGTATTTTTATAAAAACACAGAATGAGAATATTTTTGGATTCCTGACTGTAGGAGATCCTATCACTGTTAGTGTATTTTGAGCTTTGATATTTTGCCATTCAGGATGCCTTCGTGCTCATGTCCTTTTGCTAATAAGAGAGGTGATTTCAGCTCTTTCGGGATCAGCATTATTTAAAACATCTGCTCACATACCCACAAAGGAATTCCATCAGTAAAACATGGGTTTAGCAAAATTGCCCCCTCATCCTGCTTGTCTTTCTTTGTGTATTTCATTAAACATTCTGCCTCTGTCATCAAGCCAGGTTACTGCTTTAACCAGTATTTGGCTTTGTCCTTTTTCTCATTGTCTTTCTGCATGTCACCTAACTCTAACCTCCTCATATATTTGTTTTTCCTTCTTTTCTTAAGTGTTCTTCTTTTGGTAGCTGTTATGAATTTCAGGTACCTGTTTTTCTCTTTCTCAGACGCCACACGCGGTTCTGCTGTTAAAAGGTTTTCTATCTCATTTGCTCGACACCCAACCAATGGTACGTTTTGCTTTTATTTTAAAAGATACTTCCCTGCTTCATCCCTTTGTAATTTTTCTTTGATTTCAAAATACGGGGTGTACAGTATCATTCATTTCTTCATCCGTAATTTCAATTGGCGTGCAATTCCAATTTATTCCCTCAAATTGTTGATACTGTTTAGCTCCCTTTTTAATTATAATTTATACAATAATTTAACGTTGCTTGTCAAACTTTTAAATGACCACAATGATGATGAGTTTTAATCCTAAATTAATACCTGAAAATTCTACCTTCTCAAGTGATCAGTAGACACATTTTTTAAATTCAACAATTACTATTGTTTAATTTCTTCTTAATAATTTTAATGTTTTTCTTCCTGCTTCCTTTTCTGATCACACCGTTATTTAATTGAGATATGTAACAAAAACACAAAACGACCCATTCTAAATAGTGAAATGAAAAGTGTCTTGAACAGTTCTTGGAAACCAGATGATGCAGATTTCACTGTGTAACATTATTTATCCCTGACTCTCGGTCTAAGCAAAACTTGACTTGGTCTGGAGCACTCTGAACACTGTCAGCGCTCACTTTGTCCTCCTGTAGCAGCCTGATTTGCCATTACCAAGCAACCAGTTCCTCTTAGTGCCACTTCTTTTTTTCGCAGGATGTGGAGCTTCCTGATGGGAAGATTTAAGTTAAAATTTAGAAACACAATTCAGTTACAGTTTGGAGGCTGAAAAAAATTTTGTGAGGATTATTTATAAGCTGAATTGTTGCAGGGTTACATCTTTTTACTTTAAAGGTCAATCTCATGGGATGAGAGAATATTTCCTGATCATTTTAAAATACTTTAGCACCAACTTTTTTTAAACCTGTGAGTTTTGGCTTTTATTTGGAATCAACGTACTTTTTTTTTTTTTTAAACTCTTACTTTTAACTACAGATAGCTTTAAAAATACTCAAGCTTTTGTGAAGCTTTAGGATTCAACACAAGTTTATGGTCATTCTCTCCCTTCGGATCCTTTAACCCCACATCTCAATAACAGTACACTAATATTTCTTAAAGGTGGAAAGATCTCATCCTCAACAAGTGAAAATTTAATCTTAAAGCTTCATGTGCTTTCCATCCATTGTAGCTCTTTAAATGCTACTTTTTGAAGAAAAAGATGCACACTTTGATACGGCTGCAGCTTCTAAAGCTATCATATGAGTAAGAACCTCTTAGAAGACAAACAGAAGTCGCAGAGAATGCAGAGGTCACAAAATTCTAAGAAGATATGATGCAGGTTTAAGACTACAGTTTGTGTTCCAAATGCTTATGTATTTAAAGCTAGGGTTACAGGTTTTACCTAGGAGAACTCTGTGTTTACTGAAGATAAAAAGTAATAATAATGTTTTGATAAACTTAACTGAAAATAGAGTAATTATATATTCATCTGATTTAGACTTTTTAAGAAAATGTGGCTTTTCCGCACATTACACAGTTTAATGCACATGAAATGTATTTCTTTCAGTTCTAGAAATATTTCTTTTGGGCTTTCAAGATTTCCCTTTTTTCTTTTTTATGCTGTGTTGTCTTATCTGTTCTCTCCACTGTCATTTGACTCTTCCTCTTACTTTTTATTTCCCCTAACTTTCATGTGATTTTCACCTTTCACACATGCCGTGGACTTAGCCTTCCTTCCTCTTTAGTTCAAGGAGCATGGTGAAACAAGTATCTTCTGACAGTGCTTTACCTTATTTTCTGGGCCTCTGTGCAGAACGCCTCCACCTCTATAGGTGCTGGTCCGTTTCCTCTGTGGAATTTCTAGGCTCCAGTGGTATGTTTTCATAGCTTCTCAGCATATCAGCAGGGTGGCTTTTGAAGTTGCTGTGCTAACCCTTTCGTTGTACATTAAAAGAAAAGCTTCCTAAAGATAAATGGGAAAAATGTCCCAAGGAGCTTGATTCTACTGTCATTTGCTTGTTATACAATCTAGCAGGCAAATGAAAGAAAATAGCTTTTACAAAAGCCCTATAAACATTGGAGGAAAGAAAAAAAAAATACATTCTGTTTAGTGTCATGCAAAGAAAGGGTTTGCACTGATTTGCATGAATCTTGTACTTTTTAAAAAAAGTAACAGTTGTGCAAGCCTAATTTCTTTCTAAAAACTGGGTATTTTAGCTGCTATCATGGTGTTACAGTTTTATTTTTAAGTATGTGTAATGTTCTGTCATGCTTTCGTTTGTACCGAAAGTCAAGCATACCCATTTTCTAAGGCCTTGGTTATTGTCATAGGAAGATCAGATTCCCTTTTAACCAATGCAATTCCCCATTCCTCCTGAGAATTCCAAGTTTTGGGGTCAATATTTCCTTCCAAATTAAGTAAAAGAACCTAAAATTTTAAAATGAGTGCATGCCTTCTGTAGTAAAGAAGCTATTTTACAGTTGAATTCAGTTTAACTTTTTAATTCATGGTGTTGGATGTTTACATAAATTTAATTTAAGCATTGAAAGTATTTTTTGAAGGAGAATCAGTTTGAGTTATTGAAAAAGTAGGTACAGAAAGACCTATAATTTTAGCAGTACATGAAAGCAATTTTAAAAGCCATTCCATTGAATAAATCTTAAATAAATAGAAAATCTTTTTGTAAAGTGAGTAATCTGTACCCTATTTGTTTAAAAGAAATGACTGTGTGTTTAAGCGCTTTTGTTGCACTGCTGGTATTAATACATAGCTGCATGACTGTTTCATGAAATTTTTGTATTTCTGTGCCATTGGTAAATATGAACGTATTTGTAGTTTGTATCACCTTTTTCCTTGGCCTAAATTTACTCACCCAGTGAGTTCCAATAGTAGAGTCATTGGTGTTAATTCAGTAAAGGTAGGTGAAACATGTTTCAGAATTTTAATTCCAGCAGAAGTGAAGGAATGTTACTTTAGGATCACATCAAAGAGTAGTGCCAGCGTTGGCATGCCTAGAAAAGTGTAAAATCACACTTCACAAATAATTACATAATTGTTTTCTAACGAACTACCTTTAGTATCCTGACATCAGGGACACATTATAGCATCAATTTATTCATCTTTGAATATACCTGAGTTTTAAAAACAAAAACTGAAATTTTTTTTCTTTTTTCCCCCTAGGTTTCATTCTTTAAAGCTTATGCTTACATTCTACCAGTATAGACAGAAACTGTGCATGTTGTACTGTGTGATTATATTTAAAATGAAATCTTTGTCACATCTCGTTTCAATTCCATATTGCATAGCATCTGGTGTCATGACTTGAGAGATCTTGTATGTTTGCATGTGATAGATTGAAAAGACCTAAACTTCCAGTTCTAAGCAATGATCAGCTTCCTTTTTAATTACTGATTTTTAAAATATCCAACTTTACTTTTTCACTGTTCTTTTTTTCTCTCTCTTACAGGCTTTGAGTTGTACTCCATGGTGCCATCCATTTGTCCTCTAGAAACTCTTCACAATGCCCTATCTTTAAAGCAGGTGGATGAATTTCTGGCTTCCATTGCTTTTCCATCCAGTGAAGTTCCATGGAAGACCCCTGAAATTTGTAGGAATTTTTACCTTTACCCTTATTACTTAATGTTTATTTCAGTAGATATTATCTAAATAGAACATGAATTTGAAAAATATAAACTCAAGTAGTAGTGATGAATAGGATTTTAGGAGGAAAATAGAATGTAAAAGGACATTATTAATAATTCTTTGGTGTAATATGCAGTATACCACTTTTCTTGATTCTTTCCCCAAAATCTTTTTCTTGCAACAGGGAAAGGCTAGTCACCAGGCATGGTGGTACATACCTATAATCCCAGCACTCAGGAGGTTGGGGCAGGAGGATTGCTGTGAGTTCAAGGCCAGCCTGAACAACATACCAAGACCTTGTTTTAAAAAGGGAAAGTGTAATACCCATCAATAGAAGTCATCAGTATAATATAGTCGTACACTTTTTAAAAGCTATATTTGTAGAAAATCTCAGATTATTGTATAGTATTTTATAATGACCTTTTAAAATAATTTACAAAATGATCACTGTACGTTAAGTAACACATACACACATGTGCCTGTTCCCTCACCACTTTTGGTGAGTAGTCAGAAGGAGCCCTTAATTAGAGAGCAAATTTTCAAATTTTGTGCTTTACTTAGCAATAAGAATATTTCATCAGGTTGTACCTTCAAAAAGTGACACACTTTATTTGTATACCATTCTCCATTTTCTGAGGTACTGTAAATATATTTTTTCAAAGAACAAAGTGAGGTATCACAGTTGTTGGGATGAAGGCCACGTTTATGTCTTGCTGTTATTCTCTCTCTTTGAATAATTCTAGAGTTTATTCATATTGTGTTCTATCCTAATAGTCCCCCTGTGTCTCTAGAACATAATGACCTGTCCCTTTTTTTATGTGTCTGCTAGTTAAGATCAGATTTCAATCATTAATTGTAATGGAGAAGTATCTTGATGTGTGTATTTTAAAATCCATTAGTTTTCTCTTAGAAACGGCTTTTGGAAGATTTTAATTTCATACCTTTTGCATGAATGTGTCTCATTCTGAGCTTTGAAAATAAGTGAAATAATAATTACAAAGTCAAAGTCAGGAAATTGAAAGTTCTCTCTTGTTTAGTAAGTATAAATAATAATGGGCGCTAATAGGCAGTGCTGCCCCCTCAGAATAGACAAGCTAAAGAAATTCAAGTTCACTCATTTTCCCTTTCTCTGCTTTCCTGAGGTAAGGATGTGAAATCATAGAGTCTGGAGGAAGATTCTAGTAAGAAATTAAAGGCTTGCGGTAGATATCCTGCCTGCTAATTTTAGAGGGTTTGCAGGGAGTGACTTAAAGCAACAGTAATGGCATCTGTTTCTTTTGAAAAGAGAACTGTAGTGGAATATCCACAAAAACTTTGATTAAGTTGGCGTGTGTTTGTGATACATACTTACGTTCGTTTGGGGAATTGGCACATCTGTGCAGTGTTCTGGTCATTTCCCATACTCTGTCCTCCCGCTCTTTACTTCGCCTCTTCTGTTCCCCTTCCCTTGCCAAAGAAGTTTCTCTCTCTAATTCCTACTGTCTCTCCTTTTTTCAGTCTTTACTCATACTTTGGGGTTTTGTATGAGAGAACCCGTGTGGTAAGTGACTATCTGCATCTTGCCTCACTTCATGATCCCAAGTTCCACCCATTTTCCTACAAATGGCTTCGGTGTATTTTTCTTTATGGCTGAATAATACTCCGTTTTGTAAATGTATCCCATCTGTTTTGTCCACTGGTCTGCTGTTGGACATCTAGACTGCTTCCGTAGTTTAACAGTTGTGGATTGCTCTGCTATAAACGTGGACATACATGTATCTCTACAGTGTGATTTCTTTCCTTCTTCAGAGAAAATACCCAAGAGAGGTATACGTGGGTCAAATGGAGTTTCTCTTTTTAGTTTCTTGAGGACCCTCCACAGTTTTCTCCGTAGTCTTGTACTAGTTTGCATTCCCACCTACAGTGTGGGGTTTCTTCTCCCTCCCATTCTCCCCACCAGCATCTGTTTTTTGTGTTCTAGATGATAGCCATTCTTACTGGGTTAAGATAGAATCTCAGGGTTGTTTTGATTTATATTTCTTTAATGACTAAAGATGTTCAGCATATTTTCATATTCTTCGTGACCATTTATGCTTCTTCTTTTGAGAGGTGTTTATTTATTTCATTTCCCCCGCAGTTTGTTTGGGTCATTTGTTTTAGGGGGATCCAGTTATTTTCTTTAGTTCTTTAGATAGTCCTCTATCTACACATTAGTCCTCTATCTTGTTTTATTTTGTTTTTGTTTTTTGGCATTGGGAATTGAACTCAGAACCTCACACTTACCAGGCAGGCACTGTGCTGCTGAGCTATACCCCTGGCCCTTGTTTTATTTTGTTCTGTTTTGTTTTGTTTGTGAGACATGGTCTTGCTATGTATTTCAGATTAGCCTTGGACTCACTGTGTAGCTCAGTCTTTTTTAAAATTTGCAGCAATCCTCCTGCCTCAGGCTCCCAAGTGCTAGGATTACGGGCGTGCACTACCACGCCTGACAACTAGTCCTCTCTTTTAAAAGTAGCTAACGAAAACAAATTTCCCATTCTGAAGGTTGTCTCTACTCTGTTTATCTTGCTGTGCAGAAGCTTTTCAATTTAATATTGATTTTAATTTAATATAATCCCAGTTTTGATTTGTTGAACTCTTGTGGAGTTCTTCTATAACTTATTCCAGGGTACTATCATTTTAGGGCAGCTTCTTTTTGTATTTAGCTCATAGGATTTCCAGTGTTCTTATTTAGTTCCTCTCTGTGGCATGGGTGCAAATTTATACCCAAGTCTCTCTAACTCTTAAAATGTCATTCTATTGGTTGTTACAACATGAGAAAGTAAATTATTTAATGCAGTTCATTGAACTGCATGAGCTTTAGAGATAATCTAGTTCATTCTTCTTTAGGTGGTATTCCCCAGGACCTTTGGAGATCCAGGAGGAGGGAGAGAGTGGGAAGTGGTTAGGGCCAGTGTGTCCTGTGACTGCTCCGTCCAGAGTCTCTGTCATAGCCCATCTTATTTGAGAGTTCATTTGGAAAAGTCCACTGTTCATGGGGGACCTAAAACATAGTTACGGGCAATCAATTAATGTGTGATTAAACGGAACTAAAATCCAGGTCTTCTAAGGTTTTAAGGTTTTTCCTTCTTTTTGAGTATCAAAGAAAATATCGTACCAGTTACAAAACAAGTGTCTGAATCTTACATTTTATAGTGGAATTTTATGTTTACTACTTACTAAAGTATATTACTATTGTTTACATTTAATTCTCTGAGTTTCCAAGCAAGCAGCTTCATATACCTGGAGGGAATGCATTGATTTTGTGGTATTTATAAGAAGGGGAAAGACATTGTCAATCCTATAATGTTCAAAGAGATTTTTAACTCACCTAGGAAATTCATAAAACTCATAAAATTTTATGGTAACTAAAAATTAAGTCAAATGGGTCAGTGACAATATCAGATTTAAGGGAAAAGAATAGGAATATTAATTAAGATTTTAGTGACAGGTGTTAAAGAAAAGTTCGTGAGCAGGAAGAAGTCATAATATGTTTCATTTGATGTTTTAGGAACTTTTTTATCACCAGCACCTTTTTTTGTTGCAGTGACATTTATATTCTCAGTGTAGGTATCCACCTCTGAGGCACATTTTACTGTAACCGACCCACATCTTGATTTTTAAAAGCACACTGGGTACTGCTGTCAGGACCGCCCTCCAAACTGCAGAGTTGCCAGCTGGCTTTGTAATCCCTTACCTCCCTTTGTTTAGAACACAGAAGCTCAGACCAGTGATTCCCCATCTACTCGCCTCCCTTCTTCCGCCTGTCCTCCCGAGGACTCCATCCTTTCCCATCAGCACCTGTCAGCCTCCCCGCCTCCATTACAAAGTGGAGCTGAGAGAGCTTTAAAACCTCAGTAGGGTAATACAGGAATGTATCTGACTTACATCACCATTTGTAATCTGGTTAGTTTATTCTTAAATATGATAGTTTAGTAAATTATTCTCTTGGTTGGTGAATCACCCTTGAGTCTCCAGTTCTTAGGAGCACTCCTTGTGTTCAAACCGACTGATTCTCTATACTGTCACTCTGCCGTCTATTGCTTATTAGCGGAGGACAAAATTAAGCCTGTTTCTCTATTCCTGCCAGCATTCCTCTGGTATGCATGGTTAAAATGCCTATGACTTAGAATGTAAACAACATGTTTGCTTAGGTAAGACCATGGGAGAACTGCCTTTTTGTAAGAAAGATGGTTTTGCTGAATTTAGTCTGCAGACCTTTCTTTGTCTGTTTTCTACTATTGCAGATTTTAGAGTTCAGTAAATTATGCCATAAGAAATTTTCTATAATGTTAACACGGAGTTCCCAGGAAAGTATTAAATTACCTTGTTTGTTTGTTTTTTGTTTCAGCCTCACGTTCCAGTCCACTAATGAGAAGAAAAGTGTCTTTAAATACTTACACACCTGCAAAGATCCTCCCAACGCCACCAGCTACCTTAAAGAGCACGAAAGCAAGCAGCAAGCCAGGTTAGGGATGTGTCCAAGTTCATGGATTCTGCACAGCAGTTTAGAAGTGATAATCATTTACTTCTAAATGTGAAATCTATTTTTCAGTAGGGTGATTGCACTCTCTAGTATTTTTAAAGTAATAATCCTAAGAGTCCAAAATGTATTAATGTAGCCTATTTATATACGTTTTTGTCTCTGTTGTTTTCCCTTCCTTTTTTTTGTTTTTATTGGTTGTTTCCCCTTACCCTTCCATCTATATGTCAAATAAAACTATATCATTATAGTTTAATAAAACATATTTTGTACTCAAACTTTTCCCTGAACTAGTTTATGGACTCTTTTTTCCTTTTCTTGATCTTTGAGCCTAAGCCATCATTCTGTATGCACTTTTTTATGTCCTGAAGTATTTTTATTTCTCCATTCTTAGTCTGATGATCTGACTACCAGTGTTTTATCAGCATTTTTCTATTTTAACAACTCGCCACATTTGATTATGGCGTCACTGTTTCTGAATTGCTCTCTTAGCTTGACTTCCATGGTATTATTCTATCTTGTTCTTCTCCCCATTTCTCTGATTTTTCTATTTTCTTGTTTAATGATCCTTCTTCTTTTTACTTTCCTATCCCAGATAGGGATATTCTAACAATTTTCATTTTTTCTTATGGTGTATTTTTTCCTCAGAGAATTCCATATATTTTTAATGCTTTCACTGCAACCTTCGTGGAAGTACCTTTATTCTTTTCTACCTTTCAGTGCTTTCACATATTCTTTTAATGAAGAGTCTGTGCTTGGGAGTCAGTTACCAGGGCCTGCATTAGAATCGAAGCTGTGCTCCTTATTAGCTGTATGACTGTGGGTTAGTTACTTAACTTCACTAATCCTTAGTGCCATAGTCATAAAATCAAGGCAGTAATACCTGCTTTATAAAGTTGTCAGAGATTAATGCAACAATGTATATAAAGTCCTTGGCACACATTGTAAAACTCACTAAATGGTAGCTTCTATTGTTTGACTGTAGCCAAACTTTTCTGCCTAAATAAATCTTAGTACCCATGCCATATTTTTTTCCTAAAATCTTGCTTCATTCTCATTCTTCCAGACCTAACCCAACCACATCCATTGATAATATATTTTTTTGATTATCAAAACAAAAACTTTAGTGATACTCTATACTACTTATTTGTCCTAGTCTACCTGATTATAGCTCAATCAGATTACCAGGCATTATAAATCAGGGTCAGTATCTTAAGTAGATTTGAATCTTATGCATTCTAACTGATCAGGTATAATGCTATGGAATTAAAGATACTATATCCTAAATTTAACATTTGATGCATTCCATAGACAACACATGACTAACATTTGTATAGTTCCTTTTGCTACAGATGTTAATACCATTTTTATGTGCATTACAGATAAGAAAGCAGTGGAAAGGTTATGATTTGTCCCAGTCCACACAGTGTCAGCAGACCTAGGGTTGGAATGTTTTTTGAATCACAGTACATTGTTGTTCTCTCTGTATTAAACATAACATATTCAGTTCTTCATAGACATTTTTAAGTAACACAATTAATGTAGTGTTTTCTGTATTATATTTGACTTTTTAAATGTTCAGCCAACCTTGCATCCCTGAAATGAATCTTACTTGGTAGAGATATATGATGCCCAAAAACATCCCAAAATTGCCACAAAAATGAACTATACTCAGTTCAGTGTTGAGGGTTTTTGTATCTGTGTTTGTGAAGGAGGTTGATCTGTAGTTTTCTTTTTTTGTAAGGTCCTTTTCGAGTTTTGTTATCAGAGTTATGCTATCTTCATAAAATGATTTCTGAAGTATATTCTCTGGTTGTATTTTCTGAACACATTTTTGTAGGTTGTTATTTCTTTAAATATTTGATAGAACTGTTTCCTTTTTGTGGCAGTTTTGGTAATTTCTGTTTTTCAAGAAATTTGTTCTTTTTGTCTAAATTGTTTCTTTATGATCATTTCAATGAATGCAGTAATAACCTCTATTATTCTTGATAATAATACTTTATGTTCTGTATTTGATCATTCTTACTAGAAATTTATTGATAGTGTTGGCCTTTTCAAAGTACTGCCTTCATCTCATTGAGGGTTTTTTTTTTGTCTATTTTAAACTTAAGTAATGTTTTATCTTTTAATTTTCTTCTGTCTAGCTAGATTGGGTTTATTCTGATCCTCTACTCACAGTTTTGTTAGGTCATTGGTTGTTACATATTTCTTCTCTTACTATATATACATTTGAAACTATAAGTTTCCCCTGAGAATTTTAATGGCATCACACAAAAGTTGTTTTGTATATTTTCATTATCACATAGTTAAAAATATTTATTAGTTTACCTTATTATTTCTTCATTGATTTGAGGAGTTTTAAGAAGAGTTATTCTAATTATTTGGGGTTTTTAAAGATATTTTATTACCAATTTCTTATTTAATTTTATTAGTTACAAAGCATGCACTGTTTTGGTCTTTTAAGTGTGAGACTCACTTTAGGGCTTAATATTTGGATTAACTTGACTGCAAATTCACTTTAAAATGGCTGTTCTATAGTGGATCATTTTATTATGTATTACATTAAGATAGTTAATGTTCAGATCTTCTGTCTTGATGGGATATAGAAGCAGGAAGGCAGTCTGGGCAATTTATCAGGTATGTTAAGAGCAATGTCTGCTCATGATTGCAAAATTGTCTAGTTTTTCTTTTAATTTGGTAAATTTTGCCTTGTGTTTTTCGGAGGTCTATTATTAGGTTTATAAATATGTGATTGTTAGTTCATCCTAGTGTCTTAAGTTATTATCATGAAATTTGTCTTCGATTTCTAGTAATATTTTGCCTTAAAACTTATTTTAAGAGGTGATTATAACTAGTCCAGATTAAGTAGACAGTACTGTCTAGATAACCTATTTTGGTAGACAACATATATTTGATATTTTAAATAAGTCATTCTAAAAACATCTGCCTTATAGTTGTAATGTATATAGGCCTTTAACATTTAATGTAATTATTGATAAGTCTTCTATTTTGTTACGTTTTCTGTTTATTCATTGTAATTATTCCTTTATTCTTTCCTGCTTTATTTTATATTCAACATTTTTAGAATTTCATTTTAATTTATCTTTTGACTTTCTGCGATATACAGTGGTATCTTGGTTCACAAACTTAATTTGTTCAGCAATTTTGGAAAAGATGGCCATGTTTGTGTTTGTGTGGGAAAGATGGCTGCATTTGTATTTGTCACCCAATGCAGAGTTTGCAAACAAAAACAAAATTTTACCAAATGCTTCTTTGCAACCAAAAGCATTTGTGAACTAAAGTACCACTATATTTTTTACATTATTCTTTTATTGGTGGTTCTAAATACATATTTTAACATTTCACAGTCTACCTTAGGGTTAATTTTGCATCATTTTAGAACGATTGTAACTATAGAAGTTCATTTACTTTCTCCTTTCACCCTTTACATATAGATATCCATGTGTATGTGATTTTCACATATATTATACACACTGTAATGTAGTGTTATATTTTCCTTAAATAGTCCCATTTATTTTAAAGAAATTGAGAGAAGAAAAAAGTCATATTTATCTACATATTTGCCATTTTTGGTGCCCCTTCCTTCCTCCCTTCCTTCCTTTGTTCTCCTCCTTGAAGTCTGTTTCTGTCTGGTTTCATTTGCCTTTAGCCTGCAGCTCTTTAGCATTTTTAATATAACAGGCCTGCCAGCAATATGTTCTATTCATTTTTTTCATGCTGAAAAATGTCTTTATCTGAATTTTTTCCCAAGGTAGTTTTCTGGGATAGAGGATTCTGAGTAAAGTTTTTTCTTTCATCAGTTTAAGGCTGTTGTTCCATTGTCCCCCAGTTCCCACTGATAGCAGTGAGAAGTCTTTGTTAATTTGAATTGTTCCTGTTTAGGCAGTTCTCTATTTTTCTATGCATGCTTTCAATGTTTTCTTTTTATCATTGGTTTTTAGCAGTTTATAGGATGCTTAGGTCTTTTTTTTCATATTTTCTTTCTTGTTTTGTTTTGTATATTCTTGATTAGTGTTTCTTTTACCTGCTGCTCATTTTCTATTAAATCCAGCCAGTTCTTATTTCAGATATTTTATCTATTTTTTAGCTTAAAATATTCTATTTGATTTTTCTTTAGTTTTTTTTTTTGAGACTTTTACCTTTTCAATTCATTATAACCATACTTTCCTTAATGCTAGGATTTAGTTAAAATTGCTGTCTTAAAAATCTTTCTGTTAATTGCTCACCTCAGGATTAGTCTCTGTCATTTTGTCCATTCTTGACCAGAAAGCTGTTTTCTTGTTTCTTAGTATATTGAGTAATTTTGGATTATATCCTAGACATCATAAATGATAAGTTGTAGAAACTTTGGATTCTGTTATTTCACTTACATTCCTCCCAAGAATGTTGGTTATTTGTTTCTAAAGCAAAGATTTAGTGGTAGCTGAACTCCAATTGCAACACTGTCCCTTGAAGCAATGAACATCTCAAATTTCGGTTCATTTCTCATAGCTTTATCTGTGCTGCTTGGATAAGCTCTGTTCATGTCATACTGATCAAGGTTTATTGACGGAATTGCAGTCTCTCCCTTCCTAGGATTTTTTGCTGCATTTTCTGTCCCCTATATTTGTTGTCTGCCCCAAATCTTATTGTGTGGCTTTTCATGATAGTAAGATTGGCTTTTATGTTGGAGTTTTAGCCATTTTACAGGGTACAGAATGGGACCTGTTATTAAGTAAAAGTTATTAAAAGGGAAATTCACCCAGTGTTATTCCCTTCTTACAAGTGTTGATTCTTTTCCAGTAACTGAATTTTTTCATCCTTCAGTGTGTTTAGGTAATTGTTCTTTATATCTGGGGAAGTATATGCTTGTTTTCTGCAGAACTTTGATTTGACAGGAACATACCTACCCACAGTAAGAGGAATATAACTCCACCTAGGAAGCTGTTTTTATAATGCCCAAGGCCTTAGTGTTGGTTCAGATATGCAAGAATGAGCCTTAAATTAAGAATGCTTCTAGTTCTCTAACCTTCTAGCTTTTTAGATAGTGATGAGAGGAAAGATATTAGAGAAAATAGATGTTAACACAGAAAATGAAGAATTCAGGTGTAAGCATGTTGGACTGATTTCCTGTTAGGTTTCTGTAGGTTTCCAGTAAGCAGTTGGATATACATAACTTGAGCTGAGGGAAAAGACCTAAGCCACAGGTACAACTCTCAAAGCCATTTGCATAGTGGATAGTAGTTAAAAATGATGGAAATAAATTAGTTTTCCAGGAAGAATGGAGAGGGAAATGAGAAATTTATTTTGTGAATACAACCCATTGTCATCATTTTTCTGTATTTGTGTTGAATTCTAAAAAGTTAAAAATAGTGTATTAAATGTTTATAGTGTTCAATGTACATCACAGTTTTAGCAGGAACTGTTCTGTCACTCAGCAGTATTGTTTGATTTGGGGTTTCCTGTAAATCTAAGCAAGTGGTTTTTTTTGTGTGTATGTCTAGCTCCCAGTGGACCTTCTAATACACTTGCTCCTAATACCTCGTCTCGAAAAAAGAGCATTCCTAGCAAGACAGAAGTGCATGAACACAAAAAACCCACCGGGAAAAAGAAATGATGAAGTCTTCCTAGCAGAAATTGTAACTTCTCATACTTAGGGAAATCACTTGTTCAGTAGAAAAAGACATAAACTTGGCTGAAAGCTGTCAGAGCAAGTAATTTATGTTTCTCCTTAGACATCCTTGTGTTCACTTAAAAATGTTTTTAAATGTAGAGAATTTTTGTTTGTATTGAGGTGAAGAACTTTGTCATGATCTGGAAATGTTTAAAATAATGTTGTTGCCTTCTGTGAGTAGCAAAATTTGCGATGAAGGTCTGTTCGTTGTCAATATGATGTTCGTTGTCAGTATGAGGCTGTAGTAAGGAAAAAGAACATAAAAATCTCGCTGGCCTGTACCAAAGTTCAGAGTCTGAGGCTGTACACAGTGTGTTTTCATGAGACTGCTTCCTAGCTGTAAAAACCTCTAGCTTAGGTTGCAATTTGACTGGCAAGGTTACATATTGGGAACTTTTTAAAAAGTATATTTCCAAAGAAATCTCACTGACTGCTTACATGAGAAGATTTGTCTTAATCATTACAGTGACACATATGCTGCAATATCTAATAACTGGAACATCAGCACATGAATTATTTTTTTCAGTCTGTGCTTTAAATTTTTTATTGTATATTATTTAAAATATTACATATACAGTTGGGAGAACTATACCTTTATGCACATAAATTTGTATATTAATTTGTAGAAAATATTTTCTTTATATATTTCCTTACCACAGGAGGTGCTTTGTTTTAAGAAATTTTTCATTTAAATATGGCCAGAAAGGTACCTTTGGAGTTTCTTTCTAAGAGATACAGCTAACAAGTTTATACGTGATTACATTTATTTTCAGACTCCTTTTTAGCTCTAAGGAACTCAGCTGAAAAACAGAAATTGTCAATGTTACGCTGAATTCTATTACATTAGTAAGTACTTACTATGTATACCATCTGTTTTACCATTTCCATTCTTATGTCCAGTGTATCAGTTGATCTCACTGAAAAAGCTTCAACAATGAGCATTTGAAATAAATGCTCTTTATGAATGATTAGATTTTGAGTGGAAGTTGACATTATAATATTGTGATCCATCTGTGATGTAAAAAAAATCATTATCTTTGGTGCTTTTTTCCCCAATGCACAAATAATTGTGACCCATTTGAAATTATTTAAACTATAAACCAAGTGGTGAAACATAGCAAGAATTCCATGCATTGCAAGCTACATAATTTAAATTGCTAATGATTTAGTTGGAAGCTTCTGTTTAAAAAAGTACTAGATCTTCATTACATGAATACAATTATTATAATTCTTCAAAGAAGCTCCTCTAACATTAAATCATCATATACAAACTGACTTTTAGAAAATAAGCATACTACATATTAGTGATTTTAAAAGGTACCAGATGCAAAAGTCACAAATATGTACAATTAAATAAATTCATATATTTCACATGAATGTATATTATGTGAAGATATGTCTTGTAAACTGTTGAATGTACTTAAGTTTTCTGTATGTGAATATGTGGTTAATATGCTCATTATGGGGGTAAAAAAACTACTTGTTTTTTAAGTGAGTCTGAATAAAATTCTTTCTTTCCAGAATCAGTGATTTCAATGTTAAATTATTTTTATTTCTGTCTTTTATCTGTTTCCATTTAGCTTCGAACTAGAAAGCTAGTCAGAATATCTCCAAATATTGCCAAATGCCTGGGGAAGGGATGTAGGGGCAGAGTTGCACCTAGTTAAGAATCATTGTCCGAGGGGCTGGGGATTTAGCTCAGCGGCAAAAGCGCCTGCCTGGCAAGCGCAAGGTCGTGAGTTCGGTTCCCGGTACCGGAGAAAAACCAAAAAAAAATAAAAAATAAAAAAAAAAGAATCATTGTCCGAAAGTAGATGATTGTGTGAAGAAGAGGGAGATACTGTGACAGTGTTCTAATATTAAGAGGGAGACACGTAACCAACAATGTACGCTGCACACGACGCGTTAATTATATTACCCATGTGTCCTACTCACTTTCTTATTGCTGGGACATAGTAGCTGGGACATAGCACACACAACTTTTTTTTTCAATTTTTATTTTTTTTAGTACATGATAACATTCCTTGTACAGACTTGGTACCTTTACATAGCACATCTTCATTCTTTCTTCATCTCCTCTCCCCTTTTCTATCAGTCCTCTTCCCTTTTGTAAAAGATTTATCTTCCTATTTCTTATCTTTTATTTCACTCCTTATTTATATTTTGGGTTTCTCATGTAAGAGAAACCATGTGATATTTAAGCTTGCGTGCCTGATTTATTTCAACTAATAGTATGGTCTCAAAGCTGACACCCACAACTTAAAGGAAGAGAGGTATATTTTGCTCACAGCTTTTAGAAGGTTCAGTCCATGGCTGGCCAGCTCCAAGGCAGGATAAGAATGATGCAAGGGCCTAGGACAAGGAAAGTTGCTCACATCATGGCAGCCAGGAAGCAGGGTGCAACGGTAGGAGCTGGGGAGAGAGGTGCACCCTTCCGGGTTAGGCTCCCAGTGACCCACCTCTAACTAGGCTCCCCCTCCTACCAGCAATCAGCTATGAACTCATCAATAGACTGAGCCGCTGGTGAGTATAGTGCCCCCAGGATCCAGTCAGCTTCCAAACGCATGAAGCTTTTGGAGGACACTCAAGATCTAAACACTGTGTTTGCTATACTTTGTTCCACTTGTGCCTTAACTATAATTTTGAACTAAATAATTTATGTTCTGTTGAATTAATATATATACTTAATGCAATCTGACAAAATTCCAACAGCATTACAGAGCTAGGAAAACAATCTATAATATATATGAAAAAACTAAAAGACATTAGATTTTCCCGACTAGAGGACCTAATCAAAAATAGGCAACTAAATTGAAGAGACACCTTAGAAGTACAAATTGCCAATAAATGTGGTGCTACATGAGTTAATGAGCTTAATTCATTCCATGACTGGGGAAGATGGCCACAGTTGTGTTTGTGCCCCAATGGGGATTTTGCAAATGGAAACAAAATTTTGTTGAACACTTCAGTTCACAAGCAAGCATTCATGAATCAAGGCATGATTGTACATGAAAATGTGTTCAACACTTCTGACCATTACAGAAATGCAAATTAAAACAATTCTGAGATTCAGTTTTACTCCAGAAAGAAAGACTATCGTTAAGAAATCAAAAGTAACAAGTGCTGGTGAGGCTGTAGGGGTGAGACAGAATATTATGGCTGAGGAGGCAGTGGAAGAATGCTGCTCACTTCCTGGCAGCTGGGGGCAGAGGGAACAGAAGGAGCCAGAGAGGAAGAGGCTGAGGACAAAGGCACATCCTTCATTGTCCTTGCTCCAAGCAGCCCTCACTGCCTAGCAGCCCACGCAGCTATGAACTCCAATGGATTAATCCACTCAAAGCACTCGTGGTCTGATCACTTTCCGCAAACCCACCTGATGGCAACTAACCCTTCACCACAAGGAGCCTCTTAGGGGGACATACCGGATCCCAATTGTAACGCTGGACAAGATCATTCTCAATTATTTCTTATCTTTCGATGCAGTAAGTTTGATGTGAATTCATATTGTGGAGTTAGAAACAATCTTTCCTGAGTTACTATAAAGTTCCTTATGACTGGATTGTGGGTCTGAGTGAGCAATGTTAACCTTCTATTTTCTCCCCAGACAGCAGAGACTCCCAGCTGCAGGGCTACTCACCCGTGTAAACTTTCTTCCCTCTACCTCATTTACAGACTGAATCGTGTACATGTGGCAAGTCTGTATGGGCATGTGCCATGTGATAATGGAGCTGAAAAATTCCTGTCACCCAGGGATTAGCCCAAGGCATCACTAGCACGTCTATTGATCCAAACAAGCACACTGAGCTGACAGTCATTAATAAACAACTATGTTACTGGTGTACGGATTCCTGTACTATAGTTTTTATTGTATGAGGTGTGATAGAAAGAATGGTGAATATTTGTTTTAGTTTTTTTACAGTAAAAGGTACATTACCATTAATCTCCCTTGAAATATTCCCACTTGCTTTGATTTCCTTTGAACACGAAAATCCTCTATTGTTGGCAGTCATCCCATTTCCATTGTTTTAGATGAGAAACATTTTCTTCCTTCAGGCTATGCCATATTTTGAAGGCTACTGGTGTAATCATCTCGAAATATGCAGATGTCAGCGTCCTTCAAATCATTCCATCCTTCTTGCTACTTTCTGAAGCAGTTCTGGAAGTACTCTTTCATGAGTGTCCTTATTTGCACTGTCTTGGCTAATTCAGTGTCCTGGATCAATTGAAAATGTTTACCCTTCACAATCATTTTGACTTCTGGGAAAAGCTACAAGACCCAGTGCCAGATCTTTTGAATAAGGTGGGTGAGGACCCACTGCAATATTTTTTTTTATTTGACAGAAATTACCATAGACATTTGACCAATGAGAGATAATAAAAAGTACAGTGTTTAAATTTTTATTTAAAAGATGCATTGCTGTGAGTTCCTCTCATATTCTTCCCCTTTATCAAACACACTTGTCCCATAGTTCCTGGTAGTGCAGCCTTTACTGCAATAAGATTTTTTTTGAAAAAACTTAAACATTCACAGTAATTTGTGATCATCCCATAAAGCATACCCCTAGTTATTTCAATAATAAAAAATTTGCTGCAAACGGTATACTGTGTCACAGCAGCAGCATCATACATCTCATGTTTATTCTGTCTCTATTGTATCAAGACACCACACAGAGAGTGAGTGACCTATACCATGTAGGTTTGCAGAACTACACTCTGATGTTCACACAATAATGAAATCCCATTATGATGCATTTCTCAGAATGTATCCCTATTGTTAAGTTGTGCATGATCGTATTTCCTCTTTTGATTTTGCCTTTCCCGCTACTCTGTAATATGAGACAGTGTCCAGGAAATCCCCTATTGTCAGCAGTCATCCCATTTTCATTGTTTTAGATAAGAAACTGATTTTTCCCGGTATGCCATGTGTTTTGAAGGCTACTGGTATAATCACTTTGAAAGATGGAGATGTCAGCATCCTCTCCAGTCATCTTCCTGTTTGACCTTTACTGCATTTGGCAGTTCTATTTTATGTATTGTGACTGAGGTCAAAGAGTCTTCTAGATTTGTTGGAGGTAGTTTCTGTTTCATATGTGCAGATAATTTTGTACTGAAAATTATTTCTCCATTTTCAAACACCTGCCCCTTTTGTTGTTGTTGTTGTTCTATATTTTGACAAGAAGCAAGAAAAAGAGGAAAAGAAAAAGCAGAAGTCCAGGACTCTCTGGACTTCCTCATCACAATTACAGATCTTAAGTGAAATTCCTGGTAGTCCTGTCTATACTGGTGTCAGAATCAAATAAAATGCTATTTGGTAAATTGCAAAGTAAAGAACAAGTCTTGTTTTATTTGTATTCTTTTGTTGTAGAAGAGTTGTATGTAGTCCAAATGTCAGCCAAGCCTCTGTTTTCAGTGGCATTTCAGCGTTTTTGTAGCCTAAGATGTTCTAGAGAACTCCCAGTACTCTTATGGATGCTTGTGTTGTCAGGGGAACAGCCTGCTTGCTAACAATCTGATAGACATCCCCTCCCCCTGAAAAAATCAAGGTTATTCTATCATCTTTCCCTTAAAAAAAAAAAAAAAAAACCTTTAAAATCAAATAATCTAGTCCTTCCCGAAGCAGTTTTTAGGGGAGGAAAAAACTAACAAAATAGAATTAGGACATATGCTCCCGCCTACTCATTTCATATCGTATGTAGTATTGTATAACCCTGTGTAATAATGGATGTAGAACTGAAATGCCCATTTTAAAGCACTTAAAAGATGTAGCTTGCTGTAGAATGCAGGCTATTTTTTGGTCATTGCATACATGATATTTCAGGAGTACTTGGTATATGGAAGGATGATTTTTTTTAAAGAAAAAAGCAAATATGCCTTCTGAAAGTGTTTTTGCTGTTTTCAAAAACCATAATTTTTTTCTTAAGCTAGTCAATGTGCATAGAAAGTTTAGTGATAAAAGTGGGTGTCTGGATGGAAGGAGGGAAAGAAAATTGAGAAGAGAAAAGGAGGGAAGGGTAAGACAGAATAACGAAAGCAGATTCCACTGTTATATTATCAAAAAAGCAACACTGATATGAAGAAAGAAATTGGAAGACAAATAACTAAAGTCTGTCTCTTTTACTGTATGCAGAAATGTTCATCTGTCTTCTGACGTCCACACTCAAAATTCAGGACAATAAAACGAGACTTGAGAGTCTCAAGTGTTGTCACTACCATAGTTTTGTATTATGAGTTCTTCATTGACCATCCAGAGACCTTCCTGAAAGTCCCATCATTTTATTCACCTTTCCACGGGGTAGATAAAAAAGCCAGAAAGGGAAAGTGAGCCACACAATAGTACTGCTATTGGAAAAGAAAAGTCAGGGCCACCCCGGGGTAATGCAATTAATCCTGAAAAGTAAACATGGAAAGAGTCAAAACTCAAGGAAAGGACGGCATTATTTCAGAAGTCCTGTGAAGATGATAAATATCCAGGTTGAAGCCTCATGACTAAAATCTTACCATGAGTTTGTTCCATAGGTTGGGC